AAGAGATAAGTGCAATCGGCAAAGTGCACATGCGACGGGCGATTGGCCCCGCCCCCAGTTTTAAAAAATCGCGCAAGCGCAAGACAAATTCATATTACGGCAGCGGTTAAAATAATTATTGACAGGGTTCAAAAAATGTAGCATACCTTGTTCATTAGTTGAGTCGAGCTTCGACACTTTTTCGGTAAGGTTCGTGATTCGCTTCTCCAACGTATTCGACTTATGGTCGAGTTTCATTGCTTCCAAGTAAATCTCGCCGAATATGTGTTCGGCGTGCTTACTGATGGAACTAAGTTGCCTTATTAAATTGGCCAAGGTGCTGTTCGCTACATATTGAAGCTCGCCGTTGGTCACTTCAGGCGGTATCTTTACCCGACTGACATTTACTGGAGAAACCGCTCGTTTGATGAGCGGCATCTGAAATGACGACAATAAGAAGATTGTCTTCAAAGTACTTGTCAATTTTAAAATAAAGTGTCGGCAAGGTTTCCACGATAGCGAGAGGAACCAGCACGAGACACTTCAGGATGCAGTAATTGGGGATAAAATTAGAGTTCATATACAACAAAGCAACACAAGTTTACGTGAAATCATTGCACCCAATCAAGGCAATCAAAAGTCGAGAAGCCGAAAACAACTTTGGGGAAGGGAGGTAAAAGGTGCAACAGTTGTGCCACCTACAGAAGTCCCAATTTTTGCAGGGGAAGAAATCTTCGGGGTGGGTGAGCCATTCCCCTTCCTTTACATTTCGTCCGGGGTTTCTCTCCTACAAGGATGAGCTTTCAATGATGTAAATACGCAGAAAAAGCAACACATAAAACAGTTGAAAAGTAGGGATGTTGCGGAAATACGAAATTTTTGCAGTTGAGTGTTGACAAACAACGCGAAAGTGAAAGATTAATGAGGCAAACTAGCAAAAAGTTCCCATATCAATATCCATTAAAAATGGCTACAAAAATGTCCAATCTAACGGCGCTATCGTCACTTTCCCAAAACAATAATTACATATTAATGCTACAAATTAGTTCTATACGACATTAATGATAGCATTCTTGAAATAAGAGACTTAGAATTCGAGTTTCGATAGCTTATAGTGGAGGAGATATCAAGTAATAAATAAATGCGTCACCATCAAATGGATTAAACAAACGACCTCAGCAATCAACTAACCAGTTGTCACTGCGTCACTGTCCTGTGAGGTCAGACAGCAGGCGAGCAGACATAGACTGTTTATAACCAAAAAAGGAAAAAAATTATCACTTACCAAGCAGTGCAATATGCAATTCCAACAACCACATTTCCCCACTCATTCCATGTTCTCAATTCCACTTCTTTATGTTACCAATACGACAAGCTGAAGCACCTGCACTATGGGCAAGGGACAGCAGACAGGAGCACTTTCAACCAATTGGACAAGTTGATAGATGTCTCGTAATCGATAATAATTTTGGTTGAGCATGTATTGGCCGCGGAGCGCAGGCTGCCGTTTGTTTGTTAGGCCCTGTTCAGAGATGTCCGCTTGCGCGAAAAAACGCATAGGCGAAACAATGTGAAATATGTATCGACTGAACGAAGACGCACAGGCGAATCGTGAAGTGGGAGGATCGACGAAAATGAGTATCATACGCATCGACTTACGAACGCTTCGCTCACGCGATTTTCCGCCTGTGCGTTTCTCACAGTCGATACATATCAAACTCTTGACTGAAATTCGCCTGCTCCGGACGTTTCGCTTACGCGTTTCACAATTTCTCAGTCGATGCGTATCTAAATCTTGGCGGAGATTTTCGCCTGTGCGTTTTTTCGCGCCGGCGGACATCTCTGAACAGGGCCTTAGAGTAATGGCAGGCTGTTGCCCGCAATGAATATTGAAGCTGTTTTTGATGAAACCGAAGTACCTGGGACGAGAACGACCTTATGCTGCACGGGGTCGTGTTCCTGACTACAGTGAGGAGATGCTATTTCGTGGGCTGATCAAGGGGTTCACTGTGTAGTGTTTACGATCCTATTGGATCTTCCGGGCCGTATCTAATTCCGGCCCTTTTTTTGTTTTTGGAGAGACTTCTGGACGGCATATATGGGGGCATCCCTGCAGGACCGAGGCCTAGGAAGGGACAGGAGACTCGCATGGAAATGAAAATGGCTCACGCGCCTGAGACTGCCGCTTAGGCTGAGTCCCTCTTAACAAAAAGGAAACGTTTTAACAGCAGTTTGAAACTGCATTGCCACTACAATGCCCGTATATTGCGATAGCAGCCCTGATCTGTTGACCAGACGATAGGAATTGAAAGGATCTATCTTCCTCTCCGCTCTGTGTTTTTGGTTTCGTATTTCTACCCCAAAATAGCAGATGGTGTTTACCAAGGCGAAGCTAAAATGGTCCTGGCGAAATTTTTCTCCTTCCTTTTGCTGAGGTGAATCACGCAAACGATGAAATCGAGTGGCCAGCCGACTCCACACCATGACTTTTTCTTCCAAATAGGCCCGTCGCTCGTCCCCAACCAAACGACCAGAGATTTGAAAAACCTGGGTAACATGGTCCCTCATCCCCTGTTCTGGTGGCGCACCCGTCCATCGCACCTTATCTGGTTTAAATATTCACATTTCGTACATTTTTGGATAGAAGTGAACAAAACTGTCTTGCTCTTTCGCCTGTCCACTTTCTGCTCAGTCTCTCGTTGCCCCGTCTTACTAGCCTCTTTTTCGTCTCTATGCCTCCAATTTTTCACAGTTTTTTTTGCACCGTACTCTAACTAGTGTTTCACATCCTTTTCTCTCTGATTTGCCCCGCAACAGATGGAAAACATGCGTTTGAACGTCCCCACATTCCTACCGTAGATGTTCGGAATGAGTCGCCGATGGGCGGAGCGTGCCGCCCATCCCGAAAACGACACGTGGCCGGGTGGTGTTCACAACAGCATCTGCTTGTTCGTTGCCGGTTGCGTTTCTTCCTTTCTCCCTTCTCCAACTTTCAACAAAATGGCCACCATGGGAATGCCCGCTACTCGCCACTCTGTCTACGGTAAGTATTTTGCTTTTTGTAAGACCATTTGCGTCTTTATAAAGTTGTAAGTTCTTTTTTTCTGAAAAAAGATTGGCCGAGTGTAGTTGGAGGGGGCACTTTGGCACAAATGGCACGGAGAAGTGCACCAAAATGCCCCTCCAACTGCACGACAGCCTAAAGATCCACAAATTTACAGCATTCCTACATTTGAATTAAGCATTAATTATGCTTCATCGGTGTTCTCAATGGTTCCAGTGGCCTTCGAAAACATTCCGATATTGCAGGAAACAACGACCGTCGGTGGCCATAAAGGCTATAACGTTAATTTATAATTATCCCAACAAATGTCAACGTAGTCCTGATCGAAATGGACGAAAGGACATCACCGTGGAAGCGACAGCGCCGTCGCCAACAACGGTAGAGGGAATTGACACTTAAGTGATTGGGATTAGTATTTTTGCATGCTCCCCGTAGACTAGGTTAGGACTAGGTAGGGTGCCTTTGCTCTGTAATGGCCTTATTACCGACTATAACTGACTGGTATCGGTTTTATTTCTTATGTCATGTGTTTCACATTATAATCGAAGCTTTATTTAGTTGGAAACATCCCTTACCAGACTACTGAGGATGCAATCGGAAATCACTTCAGCCAAGCTGGACACGTTACCAACGTGAGGTAGGTAATCAGGGATTTTCCCAGTTAATTTCTGTGAAATAATTGAATTTACTCTCAGAATCGTCTACGATCGTGAAACTGGTCGCCCAAAGGGTTTCGGATTCTGTGAGTTCTCTGATGAGGCTGGAGCTCAAAATGCAGTCAACACTCTCAATGGAACGGATTTCAATGGCCGTTCGCTCCGTGTAAACTATGCCAACAAGAACTGATCTCGTTTACCGCATTCATCGCCTCTTAAATAAAGAAAATAATTAGATTGCGTAAACACATTGAATCTAAAAATATTGGGGAGGAAGAACAGAATAAGTCGGTTCCGTTTCACATTTGCCGTTAGGACGATGTCATAGTTGCGAATCGAGCGATTCGCTAAGCGAATCCCTCGATTCGCAAACTATGACGTCGGCCTTAGATGGAGGTCAGGCTTGAAGAAGCAAACAGTACCGAACAAGAACACCTGGTTCATTAGTTCTGACGTAGCTCGCAGTAAACCGAGGGGTGTCTTCCAGTCCTCGACGTCAGACCATGACTCCACCGGTTAGGATATTCCTGATTTGCTTGAAGCCAAGCTTAAGGCCTAACCTCGCGCAGCTCTGGTGACATGATCTATGAGGAGAATAGTACGTCCCGTCCTAATTAGCAGTTGTTGTCATCCAGCTAATGCTGACGAAGGGGGATTGACAGGGCGTAAAAAGCAGTGCCGTCACAGCTGAACACACACAACCTGCCCACTCATGATTGCGATACAGCGCAGTTGTGGCGCTATCAGCGGTTGTAAAACGCCATAACATCAGCGCCCTGACAGGATGTCGTTGACTGGAAGGGTTTCAGACCATCGCGTATCAGTCGCTCGTTGCTTAGTGGCAGGGAATACTGTGTGGCCGGTTAGCCATAGAGGACCACCCATGAGTCCTAACATACCTGTGTCGGCATACAAACAGATTTATATCGATTTCGGATAGGAATGCAGTAAGCGGTATTTAAGCTCCGGGAGAACTTCAGTAAGCGAACAGGAAATGAGATGAAAATCGGCAGGGCAAGGATTGTTACCTCACACAAAATCTAGACTTTTTGCAGAAATAATCATAAAGTCTGTGTTTTGTTAGGGAGTGACCGAGTCCGTCAATGCGGGTACCACCCAGGGTCAAGCGAGGCGTTGAGGAAAATTTGGAAATACGACCCCCCCCCCACCCTCCGCCGGAGGCCGAAGTCCATGAAACAACCCTCTTCAAAAGCCGAACTATGAAAAGGTTGAAAAGCTTGTTTGATTCTCCCCCAAAAGTGCTCATAAATGCCCTGCTACCCCACCGCCCACAAAAAAATTCGTTTAAGAAGTACAAAAGTGAAAAAGTCAAAGAATAATCATTATTGATGAGTCCTACCAAACGAGCAAACGAGAAACAGACCAGAAAACGACAAACTAGCCACTAAAAATGGCATACTATGACAACATGTTCTTTATTTATTTCCTCCACAAGACTTACCAAATTCTAGTACTACACAGATTGTGGTTCTCAATTTGCACGTAGCCCTTCAGTTGAAAGAAGCTTTTTAACCGCCTTCGCCAGCTGTGTGTTGACTGGACTTTGGCGTTGACCGTGGAGCAGCTTATTTACTATTGAAATTTGAACAAATATTCAAATGATTATAACTTTCTTCAAATATGACGAATTTTCAATCTGAAAGCAGATTTGGAAGTTTTGTGAAGAGCTTTTTCTAATCAGTACTGAAATTACAGGAAGTTATAAGAAATAACAAATTTAGATCAAATAACGAGGAAAATTCGAGACGAGCACGAGTTTTTACACTTTCCGGAGCAATAACTTGCTTCATTTCCGTCAAATTCAAAAAGTTGATACGTCATACAAAACTAGAAGATTTTCTCTATCAAACGGTCGCTAAAGCAGCTTCATACGTCCAGTATTCAAAAAATGGCCACGTTGAGGATTTTTGCAAAATTAACGAGGAAAATTTGTGATGAGTGCGAGTTTTTACGCTTTCCTAAAGCCATAACTCCGTTCAAACTCATCCAATCCGAAAAGTAAATACGCCATCATAAACTAGAAGATTTGCTCTATCAAATGCTTACTAGAACTGCTCCAAACGTCCAGTATTAAAAAAACGGCTACGTTGAGGATTTTCGCACGAGTACCGCCGAAAGGTACTTTTTCGCTACATTGGCACTATTTCAACGGCTGTATATCCTTTTAAGGGCGATTATGTACTAAAGTAAGAGCAGATTTGGAATCACTGCTTTTCTCTTTCTAAGAAAAGTGATTGATTAGCGTTTCTCAACTTTAAAGGTTACATGTTTATAAATTTAACCCTGAAGAGTCCGTTAACGCAATGTTGAATGGTGTACACCTCCCTGTAAATGCGCACGGACACTTTCAGAATTCTCTCGATTGTTCCTGAATTGAGGTTGTTTGTCCAAGGAGCCGTAGTTGAAGCGCGCGCAACAACTAGACCCTTTCTCGGATGCGCCGTGTACCTCACATCCCTTCAGATTCGGGGTCTTACTTGAAAGATGAAATATCTCTTGGAAAGCGTGCGAAATTCAGATTCTTTAACTTGTGTGGTGATAAAACACTGAAGTAACTAAGAATTACCGGACGCCTCAGAATCACGAAAATTTTGTGTGGGTGAAATATCATTTTCATTGGAAATCCTCTGGCCTGGCATCGACTCATCCTTGATATTTGTCTTCCGACGGTGATGATCCCACTGCATCAAAATGGCTCGATCTCTTCCACCCAGCGGGCCAATACGACCCCCCCCCTGCGACGTGTCGAGGATTCCTCAACGCACGCTTGACCCTGGTCCACCCTTCTAACGATAAGTTCTGGTAGTTCCACCTACAGAGGCTCTGTTATTTGCATGTTCCCGTTAGAGTGGGAAACATGGGAATTCATTTTCATGCGTTCACTACTCAGAAATAATTACTTCCATGGGTCTGTCTGTAAGGAGAAATCAGGTTCGTAAGATTGGTTCCTGGTGGACGATCTCAATGTGATCTAAGAACATTCGGGCAAATGTCTCGACCGCCGAAACCAGTCACCGCGCCGTAATTCGATAAAGTGGGTAATTGGTGTTCGTCGTTATAGCATGAAGACGTCAACGTAAGACAGCGGTTTGGACCTAGGGAGGGGGTGGGGAATCTGAAAATTCGCGTCACGGTCACGGTGTAAACAGTAAAGCATCCGCAATTGACCGATCCCTTTTTGGTTGCGGCACGCATTCTACTTCCATTTGTACATTCATAGTGGCATTTGAAACCCAATTGAACAATCCCGGAGAGGAAGGCTTGGGCGAGACTCGATCGTGGATTAGAACCCTGCACCGCGTGGGTGGGAAGTGGCGCCACTTGCTGCTACACCACCTCCGCCCCACGGTTACGGTAACGCTCAGTTCTAGGCGTTAAGCCTTACCATTAAGTAGAGGAAGTATGCCGGGGTGCGTGAACAATTTCGGTTTTCCTGGAATTTCTCCTATCTCCTCGGCTTGTGTTTAGGGCTCATAAAAGCCCCTATGCCTTCGCCTATGGTGAGCGTAACCATGACGCAATGTTATGGACTGTCCCCACGCATCGAGCACTGCTGGCTCAATATTATGTAAACTGTTTATGCGTTTCATCATGATATTTGTTTGTGACGTAGAGAAATGAGTTTGCATAATGTTATAAACAAGTAACATCTAGTCACGAGCATCACTTTTTGAGCATTGAATCAGGCAATTACTCCGAGTGGTACTGCTCATTCGTGTCCTAAGAAGTGAGTGATTATCATAACATCCGCGACAACTGCTTTTTTTGAATCTATCAGCGCGCATTTAGTTACCGTATCTGCCGTCATTCAGGCTCAAGTGGGCGGTGCCGACCGCAGATTGCGCCGGCCCGAGCGTTGGCCTATTACTCTCCGAGCTTTTCTGCTCATATCCGGTTGTTCCTCTCTCCTTGCTTACATATTCTTCAGAAAAAATGGCTACTCGTCACTCCGTTTACGGTACGTTCCTTACTGCTCTTCGGAGCTAACATTTTCTAAATTCTTAGTTAGAAGCAAAGTAGTCCTAGTGCCTTAATAGTTTAGGATTGCTTCAGTATCAGTTTACAGAATCACATTCAGCCTTGTCGGTGTTCTCATTGGTTTCAAAAAGCCTTCGAAAACACTCCGATATTGCAGGAACCAACGACCGCAAGAGCCCTAAGGGCCCTAGTAATAAGAAATTAATTCCCATCAAACGCCAACCAACATAGTCGTGGTCGGAATGGATGAGTCGAAATCACCATGGAAGCGAACAACGCCGTCATGCGCAACGGTAGAGGGAATTAACTTAAGTGATTGGGCTCAGTAGTTACTATATTTTGCATGCTCCGCGTAGACTAGATTAGGATAAGGTGCTTTCGCTCTGTAATGAATCATCACGTTTCATAACTGACTGGTATCGGTTTTACTTTTCCTGATACCCACTATGTGTTCTACAGTATTCTGCTTTAGTTGGAAACCTCCCCTACCAAACCAGCGAGGAAGCAATCGGAAACCACTTCAGCCAAGCCGGAAATGTCACCAATGTCAGGTATGTGAATTGGGCTGATTCTGGGGTTATAATGAGCCAAATAGTCAGTCTAATGAACCCAATTCCAGAATAGTCTACGATCGTGAGACTGGACGCATGAAGGGATTCGGATTCTGTGAGTTCTCTGATGAGGCTGGAGCTCAGAATGCTGTCGATACTCTCAATGGAGCCGATTTCAATGGACGACAACTTCGAGTCAACTACGCCAACAAGAACTGATCTCACTGACTGACCGATTTCTCGATTCTTATGTATCTACGAAATACCTTCATTTGAGCGTTTCAGTGTTTTGTTTGTTGTTGTTCTGGCACTGTCGACAAATAAAAATGTGATTTAATTTCCTGAGTGTGCTGATTTCTTGGGCGAGCACTCGCTCTCATTGTCAGAGCAAGAGAACCACGTCACTGGCCGAGAAAACATGACGGCAACGCGGGACCACATGAAGGGTCAACCGTGCGTTGCGCAATTCTCA